CGACATGGTCAGTATTGCCTTACAATTAGGCAAAGAAAGAAAAGGGTTAAAAATCTACGGGTTAGTTTGAGAAATGTTCTTTTTTAGTTCTCTTGTTCCTGGCCTAGTCTCAAGCCAACACGTGATGCACTGAATGCCTGCCAGCCTCTTTCTTGTTGATCCTCCGGAGACCATCTGTGCTGGGGGCATTGATTAGAGTGTGTCTGCTGGGATTACATCTTTTCTGTTGCCATGCCAACTAATCAGCTGATTTTGGTTACCACAGAAACAAAATGTCAGAGCTCACAGTAACATGAATTCAGCACAACAGAAAATGTTTTCTTAATTGGGGACCCTTTTGAATTTGGATTCCAAGTGAAAGGCAGATTTTTTTTTTTTTAAAAAGGCCAACTTTAGATAAAAGCTACATTAATTGTATTGATTACAAGGAATGTGCAGAGTTTTCTGAAAAGAGGAAACATTAATTCCTCTTCGTAAGCTATGCTCATTTTTTTTATTACTCCAAACAAGGAATATATATATGTATATGTATATTTTTTCTTAAACACCTCTACTTCATTTTCTGATTGTTGCACGTAAAATAAAATGAATCACAAAACCTTCAGTTTCCTTTGACCTCCATGAGAGGGGCAAGGGGTGGAGAGGATGCACAGGGCCTGGGAGGAAGCTATGGGAAGAATTGCTTGGGGAAGGTCAGCATTGACCAAATTGTTTCCCATCCTTTCATTCAAGGAAGTCACCAGGGCTGACTCCTTAGATGCTAAAGAATCAGCCTGCAATGCCGGAGACCTGGGTTCAGTCCCTGGGTCGGGAAGATCCCCTGGAAGAAGGAAATGGCAACCCACTCCAGTATTCTTGCCTGGAGAATCCCATGGACAGAGGAGCCTGGCAGGCTACAGTCCGTGGGGTCACAAAGAGTCGGACATGACTGAGTGACTTTCACGCCACTTCAGTCATTTAGTTTCCCTTAAAGAAAACACTCAACACAAGTGACTTAGATTCAATTCTCAGTATTCCTCTCTTGCACATGCTATGTCCAGGATAAACCTGAGTCCCTGGTTTTAGCTGAGAAAGGAGGAGTCCAAGTTTGTTGTGATGTTTCTTTTCGTAGGCCCTTAGCAGTTTGATGGCAAGAAGAGTCCTCAGCTGGTTTGCTACATCACAGTAAACAAAGAATACAGTTGAATGTGGCCTTAGAGAGTCTCCAACTGAGTAATTCATCAGAAGAACTCCATCCAGTCCTTCCCTTTATGAAATTCTCTTCCTGTAGAAGTAAACCAGAACCTCTCTCTGCCTTGGGTTTGTGTCTCATAAACACAAAACAAATAGATTAGATAATAAAAAAAAAAGCATGACATTTAACTAGGCTAATATTTGCTTAAACAGCCAATAACCCCCTTTCCTTAAAAGAAAAGGATTATGGCATCCAAATATCCCTGTCCTGCATTGTCAAGACATTTCTCTGCCCTTGTCTGGCTATAGTCACCTCCCTTCTGGGAAAACCTCCCCTGCAGGTGGCTTCTGTCTGTTAACACTCAGGGAAGAATTGTGTGGCTTAATCTCCATGCAACTCTTTGAAAAACCTTGGTAAATTAATTCTGATGCTGATGGGCAAGGCTGTGGAGGAGTGGTGTGGAGACATTGAAGTACTCCCCCATTTCACTGTGTTCAACTCTCATGGTGAAGATGCCAGAGATGAGGCTCTGAAGACCACTTATCCGAGGAGTTTGGGGGCAAGGAGCCCAAATGCCTGAAATTACCCACAGCTTGTGCTAATTGGATCTGAGTCAGAGGCCTTCACCCAGATTAACAATAATTATCTGACAGTGTTTCTGAGACCTTTGATGAAATGAAAATGGCAGGTGTTATTAGCATCTTTCTTTTTTTAAGCATCTTTCTTAAGTGGTGCTCTATCAACAGGTTAATAATTCTCCGACAGTTGGTGTTTTGCTTGTTTAAAGAAAATAGTTCTTTAAATTAGAGAGACTAGAAAGCACCTAACCCAGTGCCTAGGACATAGTTGGAATTCAATAAATGATGTGTTTTGGTATAAAATTCCCAAAGAAGGAAGTGTTATTCAGTTCAGTTCAGTTGCTTAATTGTGTCCAACTCTTTGAGACCCCATGGACTGCAGCAAGCCAGGCCTCCCTGTCCTTCACCAACTCCCGGGGTTTACCCAAACTCATGTCCATTGAGTCGTTGATGCCATCCAACCATCTCATCCTCTGTCATCCCCTTCTCCTCCTGCCTTCAAGCTTTCCCAGCATCAGGGTCTTTTCAAATGAGTCCCTTGGACTGCAAGGAGATCCAACCAGTCTATCCTAAAGGAAATCAGTCCTGAATATTCATTGGAAGGACTGATGCTGAAGCTGAAACTCCAATACTTTGGCCACCTGATGCAAAGAACTGACTCATTTGAAAAGATATTTGAAGTGATTATTAAGATTTCATAAAAGGTTGATGTGCTGTGCTACGTCACTTCAGTAATGTCCAACTCTTTTTGACCCCACGGACTGTAGCCTGCCAGGCTCCTCTGTCCATCGGATCCTCCAGGCAAGAATCCTGGAGTGGGCTGCTGTCCCTGATCCAGGGGATCTTCCTGACCCAGGGATTGAACTCCTGTCTCTTATGTCTCCTTACCACTGCCGCCACCTTGGGAAGCCCAAAAGAATGATTTACATTGCTAATTATCTTCATGGACTATTGTTTAGACTATTTCTAAAATGACTATATTCCCTATTCAGTTGACTGTTATTTTTTCTTTAAGTGTAAATGCAATGATTTCCAAAGTTTTGTACTTTTTTTAGTCTAAGAAATCTTTCTGCAGAAAGGCTTGATCAGAGGTCCACTACTTAAAACAGATAAAACTGAAGCTGTCCTGGTTGAATCAAGAAAGTGAGTGGGAATCTCAGTGTTAGGTGGAGGCTTAGCTCTTCCCAGAAGAGCCCCTTATAACGGCTCATAACCCCCCAGGTCTCAAATAGGCCATTACAACAATCTCTGGTCTAAGGTTCTGTGTTCTTTGGTTGCATGTCTTTCATCTTTAAACTATCATTTACTGTCAAGTACAATACCAGGTGGGCTTCCATGGTGTCTCAGCCGTAAAGAATCCACCTGCCAATGCAGGAGACATGGGTTTGATCCCTGGGTCAAGAAGATCAACTGAAGAAGGAAATGGCAACCCGCTCCAGGATTCTTGCCTGCAGAATCCCGTGGACAGAGGAGCCTGGCGGGCTACAGTCCATGGGGTCACAAAGAGTTGGACATGACTTAGCAACTAACCAACAGAAACAATACTAGGCAATCTATATACAAAATTTCACGTAATGTACTTTCCCAACATCCCTATCTAAGGGTATTCTTATCCTTATTCTGCAGATGAAGAAATTGAAACTTATGGAATCTGTTTGATTTTACAAAAGTTACAAAATAAGTGGAAAACAGAAACAAGATTTGAATCTAGGACATTCTTGTGCCAAAACCTCTTATTTTTACTGCTTTTTAGGTAAACGTGGGCTGAATAATGAGCTGCAATTATTTAAGCTGGACCAATATACTGTCACTGCTTCCCATCTTAGAGCTGAGATAGAATGAGTGGCGTAAGACTCCCCCACATTTGCTTTCGTTTCAAAGTCATTAACAGTGAAAAAAGGCTTCCCCAATGGCTTCGTGGGTAGTAAAGAATCTGCCTGCAATGCAGGAGACACAGGAGATGCGGGTTCAATCCCTGGGTTGGAAAGATCCCCTGCAGAAGGAAATGGCAACCCACTCCAGTATTCTTGCCTGAAAAATCCCATGGACAGAGGAGCCTGGTGGGCTATAGTCCAATGGGTTGCACAAGAGTCAGACATGACTGAACAACTAAGCACATAGCACAACAGTGAGAAGAAATGTGAATAAAATAGGAACTAGGGAATCTCCTGACAGTCCAGTGGTTAGGACTTGGCCATTTCACTGCCACGAGCCCAGGTTCAATCCCTGGTCAGGGAACTAAGATCCTGTAAGCTGTCAAAAAAAGAAAAATGAACTGCATGCCAAAAATCATCTGACTTTAAAAAGCAGATAAAAATGCCACCCTGTCACTGATCACTCTATAAGACTCACTATATTTCATTAATAACATACATTTATCTTAGATTAATTTGGCTTCCCAAAGCCTGGCCCTTTGTACAAGCAGAATTCGTCATGGCTAATAGAATGTGATTCAAGGAATTTACCCTAAAATGCCTTTCTTTCCAAACTTTCCATAACTGATAACCCACAGCCTTGGGTTAAGCACCACCCTCTGACATTTCTCTTTGGAAACGAAAACTTCCTCTGCTTCAGTTCAGCTCAGTTCAGTCACTCAGTCCTGTCCAACTCTTTGTGAGCCCGTGGACTGCAGCACGCCAGGCTTCCCTGTCCATCACCAACTCCCGGAGCTTGCTCAAACTCATGTCCATCAAGTCGGTGATGCCATCCAGCCATCTCATCCTCTGTCGTCCCCTTCTCCTCCTGCCTGGGTGACCTTGAAGTAACTCATACTTACACAGGAATACTTTTATTAGGTACTTTCTCCCAGAGTAGGATAACCGAGATTAGAACAGAGCTCAAACTCTTTTTCTAGAAGGATGATGAAAGTGGAGGAGAAAGGAGGTGAAAGCATGCTGATGTTATGGGGGACACTCTGTATACCAGGAGTGTTTGACATGGCATCGCTATAAGATGGGTTTTGTCTTCATATTTACAAATGGAGAAATAGGGGCTCGTGGAGTTTCAGCCAAAACTAGTTGAGTTACCAGTAGCTCATGCCTGGTGAGCTGCTGTGCTGACCTTTGACCCCATTAATTTCAGAGCTGATACCTGTCTCCATGGATACATCATCTGTGACACATTTTTGCCAAGATCAAGCACCTCCCAAGAGGAGTCAGGGAGACCGTGTTGAGTGGCTGACGTGTGAATTACAGAAACGTCGCGATCCCCAAGTGCATAACCACTGAGCCCCCTGTTTATCCTTCCAGGTGTGTACAGAAGGCAGACTGATTTTGGAGTTCACCTTTGACGACCTCATGAGAATAAAAACGTGGCACTTTACCATTAGACAATACAGAGAGTTAGTCCCAAGAAGCATTCTAGCCATGCACGTAAGTACCTTAATTTCTATTTCACTTTCTTCCCTTTCATCCCCTCATCTTACCCAGAAAAGAGAAGCCCTGTTTTCTCACTGTGAAACAGCTCCCAGAAACTTCACACTTTAGGTAATTAACTCTAAATTTTGAGTGTTCCCCTCAACCGTTTTCACCCACAGGCCCCTTTTGCCCTCCTTTGTTTCTGAGTTTGGTGCGTTGTGAGACTATTTTCTTTCCTACTTTATTATTTTAAACTCCAGATGGAGGTTACCTCAATAAACAGTGTGTGCTTTCCTTAAATTCCATGCATTTGTTATCAAGTGCCACTCTGCCTGGGCTAATAAACCTGTTACGTATAAACGAGGAGAGAAATAAAACAAGGAGCAGGAAACACACTTTCCAGTTTTTATTGGAACCATCTGACAAGATGTGGGGTTCACATACCTCAGATTTGTGCCTACACACTTCCTAACCCCAGCACTGGAAACCCGAGGAAGACCTGGGTTCCTCTTGGTTGCATTTGGCTGTAAATCATATCAAATTGGTTGGACATCAAGAAGGTGCAAGGGTGGATTCGATGCCAATCTAGAGAGATGTTTTGGTGGTAAGACCTGACAGAAACTCATCAGGTCAGTCCCATAAGGAGTCACCAAGCATTGACTTAATAAATCTTTCTTCCAGAATGCACGATGCACCAGTTTCTGGGAAAATGCTTTGGAGCAAAATCAGATTTGAGCCCGATTTTTAAGACCCTGTGTGGTGAAAAGAGAATACAATTAACAGCTGTAATTGTAACCTGCTCCAGTACTGAATGACAAGCCGCTCCAGTATTCTTGCCTAGAGATTCTCAAGGACAGAGGAGCCTGGTGGGCTACAGTCCATAGAGTCGCTAAGAGTCAGACACAACTGAAGTGACTTAGCTTGCACGCATGCATGTCTACAGCTGACCCTCTTTTCAGAAATTGACATGAAAAATGGCAAGCTATTTTCACCTACATTAGTTGTTTTTTTTTTTTAATTTATATACACAAAGCCAATCGGTTGCATTACTCTGAGGGAAATTAAGTACAGAAAAAGAATAAATTAAGATGTTGGTATAACCTAGATGGTCTCATGAATGCATACCTGGAGGCAAGGAGATGTTTACTTAAAACTTCCTCTGTTTAGCAATAGTTTATATCTATCAAGAAAGAAGGAAAAATAAACAGAAAGAAAGAGCAATGACTAAGAGACTCACCTTACAATGGAATCCAGAAAGAATTTGTCTTCTTTTCTCACCAAACAGAACATTGGGGGTGGCCCGTGAAACATGACCTCTTGGTATTTTTAATGTGGCCGATATTTATGAAAATAGAATGCATACCTTTACAGTTCTTCAGGATGAAAGCTGGTGAGGACATCTACTTCTAGCCTTGGCTTAACAGGGAGGAGAGTTAGATGTTTTTAATATATACATATTAATATATTTCATGGCAGTTGCAAAATTTTCAAATATAGGACTCAACTCCAAGCTGCTACAAACACTGTCACAAGATTTCCTTGGTGGTCCAGTGGTTAAGAATCCACATTTCCATTGCAGGGGTCTCAAGTTCGATCCCTGGTCTGGGAACAAAGATCCCCCATGCCTCATGATGTGGTCAAAAACAAAATAAAAATGTGCCCCCCCATAAATAACGTCAGTAGATAATTAATAGAGATTAGAATAAAAAATTTGAAGATTTTTTTTTAAAAACTATTGTACAAGAAAGGCCAGTCATAAAACATGTGTACCTGTGTGCTAAGTCATTTCAGTTCTGTCTGACTCTTCACAACCCCATGGATTGTAGCCTGGCCAGGCTTTTCTGTCCATGGTATTTCCCAGTCAAGAATACTGGAGTGGGTTGCCATTTCCTCCCCATCCAGGGATCGAACCCAAGTCTTTTACATCTTCTGCATTAGCATTGGCAGGCAGGTTCTTTACCACTAGTGCCACCTGGGAAGCCCTAAAGCATGGTTTTGCCAAACCCAGACCCCACCTCCCCTCAGGGTTGAGGGGATGGCAGGGACCTGGAGGAGTCCTGACCGGGCTTAATAACCCTCCTCTGGAAGCCACGGGGCCTCTCATGGAGGAAGTAAAGTCCTTTCTCCCATCGGACTCAGTTCAGTTCTCCCTGGCAGTGAGTCTTGCACCATTGACCCAAAGGTAACCTTGAGCATTATATGCAAGTATCTTCAAAATGTAAAATAAATTACCTCCAGCAACCTACTCTCTGAGAAAAACTGACAAGGCGCATGTCTTAGCAGCAGTAGCACAGTCAAGACTTCTTTGATACCATCTTGTGGGGATGAAATATTTGATTTCTTTATTTCCTGTTTAGGCACAAGATCCTCAGGTCTTGGATCAACTGTCCAAAAACATCACCAGGATGGGGCTGACAAATTTCACCCTCAACTACCTCAGGGTAAGACCAATGGGCTGAGGATATTTCCCACTGAGTTTTAAAGTGCTTTAGAGATTTAAGCATATCTTGAACCGAGGATGCTGGGAGGGATTAGGAGCAGGAGGAGAAGGGGACAACAGAGAATGTGATGGCTGGATGGCATCACCGACTCAATGGGCATGAGTTTGAGTAAACTCCGGGAGTTGGTGATGGACAGGGAGGCCTGGCGTGCTGCGGTTCATGGGGTTGCAAAGAGTCATACACGACTGAGTGACTGAACTGAAATGAACTGAGCTGAAGCAAGGTATTAAAATGAGGTAATACAGCACAATACATATGTCTTTTTAAAATGTATCTTATTCAAGTATAGTTAATTTACAATGTTGTGTTAATTTCTACTGTACAGCAAAGTGATTCAGTTATACATCTATATACATTCTCTTTTGTATTCTTTCCCATTATAGTTATCACAGGATATTGATATAGTTCCCTGTGCTATACAGTCGGAATTTGTCATTTATCCATTCCGTGTATGGTAGTTTGCATCTGCTAATCTGAAACTCCCAATTCATCTCTCCCGTTGCCTCCACCCTTGGCAATCACGAGTCTGTTCTCTATAGCTGTCAGTCTCTTTTGTAAATAAGTTCATTTGTGTCTTATTTTAGATTCCACATGTATGTGATCTCACTTCTATTCTAAGAAGTATTTGTCTTTCTTCCTCTAACATACTTCACTTAGTATGATAATCTCTAGATCCATCCATGTTGCTGCGAATGATGTTATTTCATTCTTTTCTATGGCTGAGCAATATTCCACATATATATGTACCACATCTTATGTATCTACTCATCTACTGATAGACATTTAGGTTGTACCCAAGCCTTGGCAATTGTGAATAGCAGCACAATGTATATGTCTTAAACCACTCTGTGTGTGTGTGTGTGTGTGTTTGTGTGTGATCAATGGATGATTGGATTTAATTAACAAAAAACATTGAACCTAGACTTTGTCAGGGTTGAGCATCTTCTCTCTGTTTGTATGACTCCCAGAAAGAATTATTCAAAGGCTGGCAATGTCTCTCTCATCAAATGCTTTGGCACTGTGTCCCTTCTGATGGTCTCAAGTTGCCAGTGTCCCACTGCTAAGTTCATAGTCTCTGTGTCTGCATCCAGGGACTGGTCACTCCTGAGGAGGCTCAGAGTGCCTTCCAGAGAGGGTCTCCTGAAGAAACTCACTCGGTGCTGGAACACAGACGTTTATTTCTAAGGCTTGTTGGGGACTCTGTGTGTGACATGCAATAGATTTTCTGGTTTATATATAAAGTGAATTTTTATTAAAAAAAAAAATTAAATGTTTGGCAAAACTCTCTACCCCCATAATTCAGCCTCCATAGTTGGTCTAATAGGGTAACAAACATCACACTGTTTCTTTTTTAAATGTTCTATACTCATTTTATAAATCAGTGTTCTTATGTTTGTAAATTCACCTTTTGATCAGAGTATAATCGCTTTACAATGTTGTGTTGGTTTCTGCTATACAACAAAGTGAGTCAGCTGTGTGTGCATATCCCCTCCTTCCTGAGCTCCCTCCCACCCACCCCGACCCCTCTAGGTCATCACTGAGCACTGCAGTGCTGTAGCGTAGATGGCCACTATCTGTTTTACACTGGGTGGTGTATGTGTGATCCCCCGGAGGAGAGCATGGCAACCCACTCCAGTATTCTTGCCTGGAGAATCCCATGGACAGAGGAGCCCGGCAGGTTGCAGTCCATAGGGTTGCACAGAGTTGGACACAGCTGAAGCGACTTTGCGCACACACACACACGCACGTTGTATGTATGCCAATGCTGGTTTTCAGTGTGAAGTGGCAGTCACCACGTTGCAAACAGAGGATGTGGTTTCCTTCATAAAGCGAGCATTGCCTTCCAGAACCAACATGAAGGCAGTGGCCATGGTCCACATCCGTTTGCCTCTGAGTCGCTGGCTTCCATATCGCCCTGCTTCTCCCGGGCCCACCCCATCAGACTGTTTATGCCATTGTTTCTTTTCCTTTTTATCTACCTGAAAACTTATGTTTACTATTAGATGGAAGCATTGGAACGAGTTCATTTATTTGGCAGTTGATTCTGAGAGGTGGAAAGAATCAGATTCATAGTAAATTCACATTTAAGCTTTTAAAAATGCAATTAAACAGGAAGGAAAACAGCAGTGCTGTAGAATCTATTAGCTCAAAAATAGTATAATGGTTGACATTATCAAATTCAATGGTTACAAAATATACTATTATTTCTTTATCCTTAAGGGCAGGTTTGTGAATCTTATCTTGAATTCGCAGTCCTCTAAGTTCAATCACGTTTGCATACTTTGACATGTTGAAATGCTTCAGCAGGACTTTCTCTTCTGTAAATGAAGAATGATTTTCACAAATGTTTCCAAATCGTGCCCTCATTGCAATGTGACGGGCGCTGAACTAGATCCTGAAGATTCAAAGATGAAAGTCATGGCACCTGTTATGAAGAAACCCTCCCCTATGAGGGTTTATAAAGAGAGATCTATACAGAGAGATCATTGTATATGAAAGGGTGAATATCATGGTAGAAGTTTCCAGACTGAGTTATGGGAGTATAACATAGACATCTCAGGTGAATCAATCAGAGAAGGTTTCATGGAGGAGGTGATGCCTGAGTAGAGTGTGAAAGAATGAATAAAGAAAAGCCAGAGGAAGGAGAAGGAAGGCCTTTTCCATCAGAGGGAACAGAAGGAGCACAGGTTAGGGAATGGAATGCCAAGCAGTTTGGTGATGCTGCGATGTGAAGGGCGAGGCCAAGGAGAAGAGGGAGAGAGAATTTGTTGGGAGCCAGATCTTGGAGCAATTGACTGGCCAGGCTATCAGGGCCAGGAACGCACAAAAGGATTAAACATGAGGATAGCAGGATCTCCATCCTGAATAAAGGAAGAAGAGTCTTCTTCCATTTGGTTTAGATTTACCAGAACCAAATCCAGGTGTTGTGGCAAGACTCAGAATCAGCCTCACTCCCCGACACCTCACGCCAACATGCCTGCCATCTTGGATGCCATGAGCCAGGTCACTCTCTACTAAACAGCCCCCGGTTCCTGCTCAGAGGGAAACCAGGGTCTGCTCAGGAGGCTGGGTCCGAGGAGAGTGCTCTCAGCAGGACAGATGAGGCTGTGTTTTCCCCAACCTCCAGGCTCTGCGTTCAGCAGTGGCTCCCGTAAGGGCTGCTGGCACAGCGCGGGTAGGACATGGGGGTCTTCAGTGCTGTTCCAGCCACAGGAATTCAGAAGGCGGCCCCCCACCACCCAGCACTGCGTCTTGTCAGGGGCCGGGAGAGATTTTGTTGACTCATCTAATGATGACTCTCCTTAGGCAGATAGAGAAATCCCACGCTACATGTCCTCAGCTGACACCTCCGAGGAATCTGGGACTTTGGCATCCATCCTAGATTCGGTCGCTCGATCTCTGCTGAGCTCTTGAACAGACTATTAAGTATTTCAGCTGCGTTTAACACAAAGCAATAAATGCTGAACTTCCCTCTTCCCCACGTGCCCCACCTGCTCAGCTCCTCTGTCGTCATCAGTAAAATGGTGACCTTCACCATGGGATCAGCAAGGTTCGCTGGTCCCCACCTCTGCAGTCTTTTGACTCCAGCGTGCAAAGCATAAGGACATCAAACCAGCAGAGAGGGAATGGCACCAAGCCCTCTGCTGATAATGCCACAGGGATCCATGTACGGTTTGGGGCAACAGAGAGTCGCACTTCCAAGGCTACCACCTAACGTGAACTACTGCAGGCTGCCCTGATGTAGCTGGACTCCACAATGGCCCATGTCCAACAGTGCCTTTCCCATAAGGGAGCTGGCCCAAGGGGTGTTAATAAAATCAGTCACCCGGCTTTATGCCCTCAAATGACAGAATCAGAACTTGAACTCTAGCACCTATGTGCTCCATGGCAAACACTGCCTTTCTAGTAAGAATGTAGAATGATGATTTTAAAATTATTTTTGTAATGGCATATAGTTGATTTACAATTTGTGTTAGTTTCAAGTGTACAGCTAAGTGATTCATAAATATATATATAGTATATGCATATATATATTCTTTTTCAGATTCTTTTCCATTCTAGGTTATTGCAAGATATTGACTACAGTTCCATGTGCTATGCAATGGGTTCTTGTTGTTTATCTATTTTATATACCGTAGTGTGGGTCTGTTCATCTCAAACCTACCCCCTTCCCCTTTTGGTAATTGTAAGTTTGTGCTCTCTGTCTGTGAGCCTGTTTCTGTTTTGTAAATAAGTTCATTTGCATCATTTTTTTTTTAGATTCCACAGATAAGTGACAGTCTCTGATATTTAGTTTGTCTGTCTGACCTGCTTCACGTGGTATGACGCTCTCCAGGTCCATCCACGTTGCTGCAAACAGCACTGTCTCATAGAATGATGATATTGATGGGAACTGGATCATGTCTTTCCTGCCTTGACAGAGGAGTCAGTGTTTCTCACTGGATCCTTAATCTCCTTCACCAAAAGTTACGTCAGCTCCCTGTAGGGTTTAATGTGAGGATTTGTTGTTGTTGTTTAGTCGCTAAGTCATGTCCAGCTCTTTGCAACCTCATGGACTGTAGCCCACCAGGTTCCTCTGTCCATGGGACTTCCCAGGCAAGAATACGGGAGTGGGTTGCCATTTTTTCCTCCAGGGGATCTTCCCGACTCAGGGATCGAACCCGTGTCTCTGGCCTCATCTGCACTGTGGGTGAATTCTTCACCACTGAGCCGCCTGGGAAGCCCCAGGTGAGGATTAAGAGAGAGAACCCACACAAAGGGCTTAGCCCAAGGTGTGGACCAGAAAGTGCCCAGTTAGTGTTTGCTGTCATAGTTTATTGGGCGCCTGTTACATGTCCTGTTACATGCTCCAGGCTGGAACTCCTTGGAGCAACATGGCATCTGACTCTCTTCTCTCACTCAGAGTCCTCTGAACATTACTTGGCTTCCCAGGCTCATCC